ATACGTGAACATGCATGTACATATATATTGCATAACTATCTGCACTCAAGCACAAACATGCACTGACGTGAAATACAAACTTGAGAGTTTCACCTGCACACACAACCTGCGCACAATACTTAAGCGCGCACAAGTTTCACCATCTTTCGCAATTCGAGGAACCACGTTGCTCATTCCACGTCTAAACTTGACGCCGGTAAGTACGTATCATTAATGTCTCGTATGATAATGAAAGAAAACACATAATTGTATCCAAACTCGGAAAATATTTTATGGCATAACGTTCATACAGGCAACAGTGCATGACGTCAAAGTGAACATACGTTTGGCCGTCAAATTTCAGCGCAAACGTTTGGTTGTTTTAATGACCAGCTGAAGTCTGGCTGTTGGTCAAACATGTCAAGGAAGGACCTGAAACGTGCAATCGATTCATACCAATAAAACCATTCTTGTAAGATGCATAATGTTTCAAAAATCACATTAGAAGACTTTCATTTACGAGATGTGAAGTTGCCAGCGGCTTGTCCTTACCATATAAGGCGAGTTCATTTTCCTTCCAACGTGTTCTGTTGTAACTTGCTGATAACTTGTAGCTGCGTGTGATAGGTGGGAGGGTCTCAGTTCCTCCTAGAAGCCGGTGCTGAGGAGACGTGGTAGCCGAGCTGTTCTACATGATTCTTCCTTGGCTCGGGACTTAAAGATATTAGCCTGCATGCTGAAATTACTGAATGATTTCTGGTGGTTTGTGAAGGGCAGTGTACAAAAAAAGGGAACGCAGGTAGAGTGTTGAGATCGAGTGATTGCATACGTTTCTTGGGGCGAGGTTTATTGTAGTGTAATATTACATCTAAACTTGTTATATGACGATCAAGAACATTGTGTATCGATAATGCATTTAGTTTATTCAAAATGTGAATTGATTATTTTTGAGATGTCCACTGTTATTGTACGTATTGGAGATGCAGTGGTTTCTGTTTATTAATTAAAGGATGTTTTCATAAATTTAAGAAGACAGAATATTTTCGACTGGTATTATTAAGAAATATATTATATACTGGCACCTGTCACATAAATCAAGAACTGTCAATAGCAAATAAAGTGGGTATTTCAGTATTTTTCGATCAACTTTGTCATGCTATCATCTCATTCTCATGGCTACCTTGTTTTTTGTTTTTTTCTTAATTTTATCATCTACTTTTCTTCCAGAACACTATGAGGACCTTAAGAAGTAAAGCATATTGTGTTCCTGGAAGAGCTGGCCCTTCATTTCGCGTCCCAGGAGAGAGCCAGCAGGAATGGGTAGTGCCAAACCCCCCTCCAGTGCCTCAGACATTATCGTCTGCTGTGGAACAGGTAATAGATACACGCAGGCTTGCGCACGCTGTCACTTACAACTACACACATACAGCCTCTCACACGCACACATATTGATATATATATATATATATATATATATATATATATATATATATATATATATATATATATATATATATATATATATATATATATATATATATATAATATATTATATTTATATATATACATATATACATATGCATACATACATATACATACATACATACACACATACATACATACATACATATAGTAGTATATATAGAGATAGATAGATAGATAGATATAGATATATGAATATATATATAAATATATATATATAATATATATAAATATATGAATATATAAATAAACAGATATGTAAATATATATATGTATATATATATTTTTATATATGTATAAATATGTAAACATATATATATATATATATATATATATATATATATATATATATATATATATATTATATATACACACACACACACACACACACACACACACACACACACACACACACACACACACACACACACACACACACACACACACACACACACACACACACACACACACACACACACATATATATATATATATATTTACATATGTATTTGTGTGTTATATATGTATTTTTTTATTTTTTTTATTTATCTGTCTGTTTATTTGTTTATTTCATATGTGTTTAAGAAAACTAGAAAAAGAATGCCGACTTTTCCTTCTTCTTTTTTTTTTATTCTGAAAATATTCATTGTTCTTCAAAAGTAATATATAACCAAATATTTTACTGTTATGATTTCTTTACTAATGCTTTCATGGCTGTTAATTAGATCTAAATAAAAATTATTATACAATTCCTCGTCATATTTGGCATTCTTAATGATAACTATACCCACCCCAAGTTATTATAATCTCTCCAAATTCAAGTATAGTAGTAAAAGACCAAGATATGAATTGAAGCCATTTTAGTCATGTAATTTTGGAAATTTTGTCTTACAGTTATTGGAGACGTATACCAGAGCTCACTCGACCCCACCCGATGAGCCTTGTCCGATATGCATGTGCAGTCTTCAATGTCCAAGTGATTGTAGCAGTCAGGAATTAACTGAAGGTAATAATGAGTATATATATTTTCATAAATGAT